GTTGTGTTGGGGTTGTGAAGTGTATTTTGTCCAGGGGATGAATGGAATAAAGGGAGGGATTTATTTGTTTAATAAAAGGCTTAAAAGAAGGAAAATAACAACAAACAAAAGGTTTTATTTTACACACTTATTTTCTGCCAGGGCTAAAATAAGAGTAGGAAAAGCTTTATTTTGAAATGAATTAAATGGCAAGGAATTTTGGATGTTTAGGGTTGGGTTGGACGGAGTGGGATTTGGTCTGTGGAAACCTTGGGTCCGAAGTTATTCAGGCCTCTCTGGTTGAAGGACCTGGAATTCTCACTAAAACGGATCATAATGTTTGAACGTAAGTCCTTTGGTTTTTGCGAGGGTGTAGGACATGGGGGAGGGTATGATAGGGCCAGGCCCGGGTATAACAGATGTATTTCCACCTATTACATTGAATTTAAAAGGAGGTGCATCAGCGGTCGGTTTTGAGGCCCAGGGACTACCTCACTCGTGATACTATTGTGAGTCACACAAAACATAATTTCTTAAATATATTATAATCATGAGTCTAAAGATGTAATCATAGTTTTCATGCACCTAATGTAGAGTGGAAGCACTGATTGGTGTTCAGGATTCCTCCCATCTCGATACCCAGGACTGCAAATTTTAGGAGGTAAAATATTCCTCAAAGTGATTAGTCACAAAACTACCATTTTTGTCTACATCTAGTATATAGTATCAAAAGGCATCATTTGTTTGATTATGTTTGATTTTTTTTTCTTCGCAGAACTTGTCATGAGGGACAGGGTCATTACATATGACTTGGAAAACCAAAGAGTTGGATGGACTGAATTTGATTGTAAGGTTTTATAGTATTCCATGAAAATAAGAGCAATTTAGAAACAATCTTAAAAACTACTACCTAACCATCACCATTACAGGTTCCACGCCAGTAAATTTTACCTCGAACCCCATCAGCACCGACTTCCATCAGTACATCTTGAAGATAAGCTCAAGATCACTCAAAATATTATATATAGTTTTTATGTTAACTTTATTTGTGACGTTACTAATATCATTGTACTTCACTCGTTGAAACCCTGTGAGCTACTTTGCTTATGTACTACACAATTAGATTACCATGAGTCCCTACATTATACATGTATTGTTCGCTCTTGGTTGAGAGTAGAATTTCTATTTTAACCAAACTACTTCAATTTTCCACTTCCAAAAGTCTTAATCGCCTTCTTAAACACATGGATGATCAACAAAGTATCCCAACAGCTGGTTCAAATCTTCACAAGCAGTTATAGGAAAATTAACATGCATAGAATGATTTTGGACATTGTAGAAAATACTTCTTGACTCCTCTTTGATGTGTATATAATTATAAGAAAGACAATATTATGCCAACCATGAAATTAAACAGAGCATTAAACGGTTATCATAGTTTTGGCAGTGTTTCAACAAGTACAAAGAAATCCACGTATTAGCTCAACAAAAAAGTGTTGTATATTGAAATTTTATATATTCTACCATTATGATAGGATGTGTTTATATGAGAGGAATATGTCTAGAGTTATACTTTGTACATCAAAATGTCATTTTCTTAAATTAGGTATAATGTACAAATATTGAATATCTGTGTGTGTGTATTCTGCGGGTGATACTGAAACTTATTATAAATCCAATATATTTCCTCAGCCAAATTTACCAATTCTATAAAGTACCAAAAACATACTTGATAATTACCTCTGCCAATAGGTGGCTTCTTTCTCAGCTATCACAGTGAGGCCAACAAAAGCAGAATGTTGAAGGCTAATCATCCATTGACAGCTGGTGGCATTTCACCCACTGCCTCACAAGTCACAACAATGTGTGCAAACTTACAAAATTAATCTAACATACAATCTTAAAGTGTTGCATTAACATCATTGATTAGCAAATGTCTGAGGTTTGTATTGTTCATAAAAATGAAATCTGAAATCTGAATGTTCATAAACTTTATTTTTAACCAAAATGCACTTTATTAAACACTCCTGTGGAAAAGCACACCAGGAGGTAGATCAAAAGACAAGGGTTTTACAAAAACCTCAATCAAACAAGTCTAAGGAGTAAAAAAGAAACTACTCCATATAACAGAGGGAAATTTCATTTGGATCTACTATTATTAATATAGGAACAAAGTTTGAATTTAACATGAGCAAAAGCTTCTTCAACATCGATACCTCTCCTTCAAAATAAGCAATGATTTCTGGACTTCCAAATAAAGTGAGTAGTAGGCCCATGCAGCACAGTAGATTCCTCTATAGCTTCTTCCTTGCACCTGCTTTAGCCACAAAAAGATCTTAGAATTAAAGTGATGCATATATTTACATTCCCAGAAAAAAA